TCTTGAATTCCTGACCTCAAGTGATCCTCCTGCCTTAGCATCTCAAACTTCTGGGATTACAGGCGTTAGCCACTGTATATATTTTTATACCTGAAAATATTTTATTGATAATTCTGTCATACATTTAAGCCAAAATAATCTTTTTTTTGATTTTTGTTTATTTTTGAAACAAGGTCTGGCTCTGTCACCTAGGCTGGAGTGCAGTGGCCTGAACTCGGCTCGCTGCAACCTCAGCCTCCCTAGTAGCTGGGACCACAAGTGTGCACCACCACACCCAGCTAATTTTTGTATTTTTTGTAGAGATGGGGTTTTGTCATGTTGCCTAGGCTGGCCTTGAACTGGTGAATGCATCTTGGCCTCCCAAAGTGCTGGGATTAGAGGCATGAGCCACTGCACCTGGTCAATAATACATATTTAAATTGAAATAAATTTAAAATTTTTTGGTGACATAATTATTTAAGCAAAAAATTTTATTCAGAGTGAGTTATTACTGGTACATAATTTAACAAACATTGATATGATATGCTACATATTTTGAATGATAATGATTTAATAAAACAGGTAAATGTTTTTATGGAAACTGTAGTACTTAATCAGATAGATGAGACATTCTCCCCAATTATGTAACATACACAGGAATGAACATTATTTATTACTACAATGAGAGAGTTGAGAGCTAATTCTAATCCTATCATGGGTTTTTATGTATGTAAGCACTTAGAAATTTTTTCACATAAATATGTAGGAATTGAGCACTTTTTGAACTCCTTCCAAGGACATGCCAAATATCACATGGTGTTTTATCACAACAATTACTTTCATAATCCATAGACAACTCAAATAGGTTTTTCCTTAATTTCATTGAAAGCAAAGAACTGGAAACCTCTTGATATATAAAAGTGTTTTGTTACCCAGTCATGAGTCTCTTATCTCTTTTTAAATTTGTGGTAATTCAAAAATTTATTATCAAGACAGATCGAATAGTCATTATTTCTTCCTTTAATTCTTACTTATGGGCACTTTGCTTAATTTGATATTCTCAGAAAGGATTGTGAATACTGAAAAATTATTACTTTCAAAACACCTTTGCCAGGATTGTTTTTTTTTTCCACAAGCTGCTTTTATTGTGTGCTTTATGTATATATTTTCATCAAAATCTTGGAGCTACCTATTTAGCTTGTCAGCATATGGATGCCATGTGTCCTGGTTAACCTGGTTAGCTAAACCAGTTCTCATTGCCCAAACAATCAAAAGTATGTACATGAATCTCTGTAGCCCTCATTTCTTTTCCTAACTCTTCTTGATTATTGCCATGGGCTTTGTATGGTAGAGGAGAAACAAGAGTTGAGCTTAGCTTATTTTGGTGGTCCTTCTGCCCAAAATTATTTTTGAATCATTTTAGTGGAATTTAAATTTCATAGGTTTCAACTACTTCAAGAAATGAAGTACTGGCCAGGCACAGTGACTCATGCATGTAATCACAGTGCTTTGGGATGCCGAGGCGAGAGGACTATTTGAAACCAGGAGTTTGAGACCAGCCTGTGCAACAAAGCAAGACTCTGTCTCTATTTTTTATATATTTTTTTGAGATGGAATTTTGCTGTTGTCACTCAGGCTGGTGTGCAGTGGCGTGATCTGGGCTCACTGAAACCTCCACCTCCCGAGTTCAAGCAATTCTCCTGCCTCAGCCTCCTGAGTAGCTGGAATTCCAGGCACCTGACACCATGCCCAGCTAATTTTGGACTTTTAATAGAGATGGGGTTGCACTATGTTGGCCAGGCTGGTCTTGAATTCCTGATCACGGTGATCCATCTGCGTTGGCCTCCCAGAGTGCTGGGATTACAGGTGTGAGCCACCACACCCGGCCTATTTTTTTTTTAAAGAAAGGAGAGAAGGAAAGAAAGAAAAAAAAAGGAGTGAAGGAGAGGAAGAAAGAGGAAGAAAAAGAGGGAGAGAGAACGGGAATGTTGCTTTATTCTAAAAATGGGTATTGAAAACCTCTTTCATGCCAATAATTGTGCTTAATAATGGCCAATCAATACTTCATTTAAACCTATGAGTAGGTGTGATGTGGTACTGACAAGAATGTATATTTTGTGGAGAGCTCTATAAATGGTTATTAAGTTTACTTGTTCCGGATCTGAGTTCAAGTCTTGGATATCCTTACTAATTTTCTGTCTCATTGATCTATCTAATACTGATGTTGAAGTTTCCCACTATTATTGTGTGGGAGTCTAGGGAGTCTAAGTCTCTTTATAGGTCTTATGTATCTGGGTGTTAGGATCATTAGCTCTTATTATTGCATTGATCCTTTTACCACTATATCTTTGTTGCTTTAAAATCTATTTTATTAGATGCGAGAATCGCAACTCCTGCTTTTTATTTATTTATTTTTGCTCTCCATTTGGTTGGTAAACGTTTCTCCATCCCTTTGTTTTAAGTCTTTGTGTATCCTTGCATGTGAAATGGGTCTGGATGTAGCATACCATTGGGTTTTGGCTGTATCTTTTGATTGGAGGATTTAGTCAATTTAAATTTAGGATTACTGCCATTTGATGTTAACTGGCTGATTTGTCCATTTGTTGATGTAAATTCTTCATTATGTTGATGCTCTTTACTTTTTGGTATATTTTTAGAAAGACTAATACTGGTTTTTCCTTTCTATGTGTAATGCTTCTTTCAGAAGCTCTTGTAAAGCAGGCCTGGTGGTAATAAAATCTCTGAGTACTTGCTCGTTCATAAAAGATTTTATTTTTCCTTCAGTTGTGAAGCTTAGTTTGGCTGGATATGAAATTCTGGGTTGAAAGTTCTTTTCTTTAAGGATGTTGAATATTGGCCCCCACTCTCTTCTGGCTTGTAGGATTTCTGCTGAGAGATCTGCTGCAAGTCTGATAAACTTCTCTTTATGGGTAACCTGACCTTTCTCTCTGGCTGCCCTTAGTATTTTCTCCTTTATTTCAACCCTGGTGAATCTAACGATTATATGCTTTGGGGTTGCTCTTCTTGAGGAATATCTTTGTGGTGTTCTCTGTATTACCTGGGGTTGAATATTGTCCTGCTTTGCTAGGTTGGGAAAGTTTTCCTGAATAATATACTGAAGAGTATTTTCCAGCTTGGATTCACTCTCTTTGTCGTATTCAGGTACACCTATCAAACGTAAATTAGGTCTTTTCACATAGTCCCATATTTCTTGGAGATTTTGCTCATTCCTTTTTATCTTTTTTTCTCTATTCTTGTCTTCTTGTTTTATTTCATTAAGTTGGTCTTCGACCTCTGATATCCTTTCTTCTGCTTGATCAATTCAGCTATTAAAACTTGTGCATATTTTGCTAAGTTCTCGTGTTGTGTTTTTCACCTCTGTTAATTCATTTATATTCCTCTCTATATTGTCTATTCTTTTTAGCATTTCATCAAACCTTTTTTCAAAGTTCTTAGTTTCTTTACATTGGGTTAGAACAAGTTCTTTTAACTCCCAGAAGTTTCTTATCCCAACATGTGAGAGTGTTCTTTTCAACACACCTCCACCTCCACCCAAGTTGGCTTCTATCACTTAATATTTTTTCCAATCTTGAAGGTTAAAGACAGAATCATGGTATTTTGTTTTGCATTTATTTTATTACTAGTAAGATTAAGCATTAGTTATTTGTATTTGTATTTAAAATTTTTTTTATTTGTTCTTCTATTAATTTGCTTATTATCTTCTTTGTGCCATGTAAGAACTCTATTTTATGGTTCTTATGTATTAAATGTACATTTCACATATTTTTATCAGCTTGTGGCTTAATTTTTAAATCTGGGTTTTAGTTTAAAAAATAAGTTAAAACTTAAGTAATTAAATTTATCAGTCTTTTTATTGTGGGGTTTCTCTCTTTCACATTCATTTCACCAATAAATGCCTCGTTAATATCTATATAATATAAACAGCACTTTTGTTATGAAAAAGGAGTTCTTATTATTCAGAATTTGAGGACCACTGGTGTGAGAAACAGACAGCTCATGAATGTGTACTTGTGTTGCTACAGGGATGAAGCTGAAACACTGTCTGCTTTGGAGAGAGTTTCAGTTGCTTGTGGATCTCTAACAAGTTTCTTGCTTATCAAAGTTGAAAATATGAGAACTTCATTCCTTTTGTTTTCATTTGCTTTTCTTGAAACCACAGAGAGTCTTGTTTCTCAGGCAATCCTCTACAAAGTGCAAACATCAAAAGGAGCCCATCTTGGTATTAAAGTTTGGGACTTTGGAGGCAGGGGGCTTAGCTATGTTTTTGAAGTTAGATAGTAGTGATAGATCACATTTTCACAACTTATATAGCATTGTTTGTCATGAAGAGGAAAACATTTCCACTTCTCAAAGTATTTATATATATATATATAAATATACACACACACACACACACACATACAAACATATATATAATGCAATGTTAAGTGTGTAAATCATAGACACGTCTTATTGAGTACTTAGCATATTGATAAACATATAAATAAAATTCTGGTTTATCTAATGAACTCAACTTTAAACAGTTGGCTTACTGAGTTCTGAAATAAAAAGCCATTTATTTATTTATTTTAAAGACAGGGTCTTGTTCTGTCACTTAGGCTGGAGTGCAGTGGTGCCATTATAGCTCACTGTAACTTTGAACTCCTGGGCTCAAGCAGTCCTTCCACCTCAGCTTCCTGAGCAGCTGGGACTATGGGTATGTGCCGCCATAACTGGATAATTTTGTGTTTTTTTGGGAAAGGGTTTCACTGTGTTCCTCAGGCTGGTCTTGAACTACTGGCCCCAAGCAATCCTCCTTCCTTGGCCTCCCAAAGCTCTGGGACTAGAGGCATGAGCCACCAATGCCTGGCTGAAAGGCCATTTAATGATTTGCTTTTATTGTGAAATTGATTAATCACAACAGAAGTATTTTCTCTCCCCACTCAAAGGGATACATGTTTTATGTTTTTTATGAACACTTTACTCTCACATTTAAGTGAAAATGTTTTTTTCTCTTCTAGCTTCTGTTTCTGCTAAGATGACATCCTACATGGCTATTGATGGCAGTGCTCTTGTAAGTATCCTTTGGCAAACCCCAGGCTTTAGAGATTGTCAGTATGACAAATGAATTAAATAATAGGTTGATTTCAAATTTGGCTAGCAATTTATTGTCCTCAATTTCATTAGCCAGAGTAGAGCCAAATGACCCTGTTGTTAGGTCTAAAGAGTCATATGGTCACCAAGCATTTAAGACTTTTAGATTTTTACTTTTAAAGTTTAAGCTGCATACCATGGTTTTAATATACTGTACATAAATTATATTTTAAGAAGATGCTAGCTATGGTACTGGTGGAACCTCTCCTGCAACCTCTATAGGAAAAATTCTGTTAATAATTTCATGGAAATCATGAGGATCTTTTAAAACAATGGTCACATGTTTGCCTAAGATAGGTAAGTGAATTGAGAAGTGTATAATCTCTATTAGACAAGGAAACTTACGCATGGAAAAATTAGGAAGTTTATGTTGGTAACATGGCATTTCTAATAGAAGGGGCTGTGGAGTGGTGTGGGATTGTACGGTGTGCTTCTTTTGGCAAATCTAGTGAATACATGATAGACAGAGTTTTAGGAGGAGAGCTAAAAGCAGAATCAGAAGTGGTGTGTTGGGAAGATGAAGTAGAGACTTTCTGCCAAATCTTGAATGTGGACAGTGGTTTCTTGATGCAAATTAGAAAATGGATATCAAGGGAGTTTGTGGTAACAGGAATGAAGAAACTGAGTTAACTAGACAGTTCTGAAAGACACCTGAGTACAATGCAGGGTGGCCAATACATCCTTCCCTTGGCTTGCTAACAATTTCATATCCCAGAAATTGAAAAGGCCATGAAAACACTTTAATTCTGGTGCTAATTCTAATTAAGGAGAAAACTTATTAGGTATGAAAAAAAATGCAGGAAACTTTGAAACACTACGCTGCAGAAATTAAAAAGGAAAATACAAATTATAAAAAGTTATATATTGGCTGTGTGCAGTAGTTCACACCTGTAATCCCAGCACTTTAAGAGGCCAAGGAAGATGGATTAGTTGAGGTCAGGAGTTTGAGACCAGCTTGACCAACACAGTGAAACTCTGTCTTTACTAAAAATACAAAAAAATTATCTAGGAGTGATGGCATGCACCTGTAGTCCCAGCTAGTCAGGAGGTTGAGGCAGAAGAATCACTTCAACTTGGGAGGTGGAGGTTGCAGTGAGCTGAGATTGTGCCACCGCATTCCAGCCTGGGTAATCGAGCAAGACTCTGTCTCAAAAAAAAAAAACAAAGTAAAAAGATTAGGCAAGCATGGTGGTATGCACCATAGTCCCAGCTACTTGGGAGGCTGAGGCAAAAGAATTGCTTGAATCCGAGAGGTAAAGGTTGCAGTGAGCTGAGATGGCACCACTGCATATCAGCCTGGGCAACAGTGACTCCATCTCAATTAAAACAAAACGAAACAAAATAATGATTCTGGTCCTTTACCTCATACCAGATGTAAAAATTAACTCGTGGCTAAGGCCTGTAATCCTAACAATTTGGGAGGCCGAGACTAGCAGATTGTGAGGTCAGGAGATCGAGACCATCCTGGCTAATTTGGTGAAACCTGGTCTCTACTAAAAATACAAAAATTAGCGGGGCATGGTGATATGCACCTGTAGTTCCAGCTACTCAAGAGGCTGAGTCAGGAGAATCCCTTGAACCCAAGAGGCAGAGTTTGCAGTGAGCCAAGATTGTACCACTGCACTCCAGCCTGGGCAATAGAGTGAGACTCTGTCTTAAAAAAAAAAAATAACTCAACTGGGAGGATGGCCTCACCAGCACACACACAGGCCTCAATCATGAATGAGGAGTGACCAATAAAGACAAGGAGTTTCTTTAAAAAAAAAAAAAAAAAAAAGAGATCTGCATTGCAGGGTAGAAGGTGTGACTCAATGGGCATGGGCCGGTGGGTGTTTTTTGATAACAGAAATGGTAATAATCACAAGGAACATATGTAAGAGGAGCAACTAGGAGAATCAAGGTGGCTGCAGTGGGAGACTTTGGCTAGGAGTTGATACACAGACCATTTATAGGATGCTAAAAGGGAGTCCTGTGGTCAAGGTTAGACACAGATGGACACCACGGATCTGTAAAAACAGAGTCAGGAAGTTCAGAGTAGCCAAAATGAAAATTTTTAAAAAGGAAAAAATCCATTTTAAGATTGCAAGCACGTGTGTATGTGTTATTTGGAACAAAGACATAAAAAAGAAAGGATTAGGATTGTCGTTTCCTTGGGAAAGGTAATGCAGTGTTTAATTCTTATAATGCTCTGCCTTTTCCACTGAAAGAATGCAATCTTCCAACTGGAGAAAGTGCATCTTATAGGTTTAGGAAGAACTGGAAATCAAGGTAATAACAGAACATTTAAGTACTTTATATTAACAGTTTTTTTTTTTTGAGATGGAGTCTCATCTGCTGCCAGGCTGGAGTGTGGTGGCACGATCTTGGCTCACTGCAACCTCTGCCTCCCTGGTTCAAGCAATTCTCTCCTTCAGCCTCAGCCTTCCGAATAGCTGGGACCACAGGCGCATGACATCACGCATAGCTAATCTTTGTGTTTTTAGTAGAGATGGGGTTTCACCACGTTGGCCAGGATGGACTTGATCGATCTCTTGACCTCGTGATCCACCTGCCTCGGCCTCCCTAAGTGCTGGGATTACAGGCGTGAGCCACTGCACCTGGCCTAAATTAACAAATTTATTTGTTCACTGGAACTTTCACTTAATATTACCTACCATTACCTATCCTGATTCTATCATGCATCAGGCACTGTACCAGGTAGGGTAGAAACTATAGATTTAATTGGCTTTGGACAAGTTAAAATCTCTACATCTTACAAGTATAGCCCTGGGTATTAGGATAAGATCACATATGTGATTACCAAAGGACTAACATATCAACCATGTAATTCCCGACCTAGAGTCATTACCCCTGTTATAGGTAACTGGGTTTCCTTTGGTCTTCTGTGCCACTGAATTCTATTCTTATTAGTCGGAACTCTGGCTACTTATGAATCTTTCTCATTTCGTGAGCCATCTCCACTCTTAGACTCAATCAGCCAGCTTCCTTGTGTGTCTATTTTTGTGTTATTTTTATCTTACAGCCATCAGCGTCTGGGCGGCACTGCTGAACATTTCTCTGAAGCATTGCTTCCAGCGGCTTTTCAGTGGTTACCCTACTTTATCTTTCCATTCAGAAAATTAGTTCAATTTTCTGCTGTCATTTGTTCTCTAAATAAAATGTAGCACAGGAGACCTGTTTTTATGCTAGGTAGTTTCAGTAGGTTTGACACATTTGACCTAATCACATTTTGAATTATGCTTTATTTCCAGTAAAATAACACTTATTGAGTTATATGGGTTGAACAAACTGCTTGGTGCTGGGTATAAAGTTGAGGAGCTTACCATCTTGTCGGGTGCTGGGGGAAGGAATATACCTTTAAGGTCCTTTTGTTGATGCTAGCCTGCCAGTTTTCACTGAGGCTGGTATGGTTAGTGGTGCTAAGAAAACTGCTCAGAATTCACAACTAAATTCTAAGTGCTGTTTGAAATTTTATTAAGTGTATACCAAATGGCACTGTCCTGTTTTTTCCTAAGCTGAATTGTTACCTGATAGTATTCTTTTCCCTCTTCTAAATGAAACAATGGGATTTTCAAAGCTAAATTTTCATGTGGAACCAAAAGTATTAACTCACCAAGTCCCATCAATTCTATCTCTTAAATATTTCTCCGTCTTCACAGCCATAACTCTTGCCTGCTTCCCCTGGGCTTTTGCCTCTGGTCCTGTGTCCCTCCAATCCACTTGCTACACAACAACCAGAGTGAATGTTCTTAGATGGAAGTCTGATTATACCACTTGCCTGCTTACATCAGTTCAACATCCCGTTGTTCTTTGGATTAACTTCGTAGTGTAAGGCCGGGAGAGGTGGCTCATGCCTGTAATCCCAGCACATTGGGAGGCTGAGGTGGGAGGATCACTTGAGGTTAGGAGTTTGAGATCAGCTCTGGGCAACATAGCAAGACCCCATCTCTATAAAAATAGCCAGGCATACTGGCTCATGTTTGTAGTCCCAGCTACTTGGGAGGCTGAGGTGGGCGGATCGCTTAAACCCAGGAGACTGAGGCTGCAGTGAGCCACTACAATCCAGCCTTGGCTACAGAGCAATACCCTGTCTCAACACACACACACACACACACACACACACACACACACACACACACCCCTTTAGAATCTGGCTCATTGTATGTTGGGAAATCTTCAATATAGTTATTGGATTTGATACTATCCCCAAACTTCTCTAAGAATTGGTTCATGTAGTCCTTGATATTGATAAAGTTTCCTTGAAACACACCATGGTGATAACCAAGTGTTATGCACAAAATCATGATTGCTTAGCTTTCTTTTATGATCAGTTTTTCATTAAAATAGATAAATAAATAAAACTAGCGTATATGAACCTTCAAGTCTTGATTATAAAGTTCCCTGGTCTTAGATAGATTTTAGTAACACTGTTTAGCTAAGAAAAGAAAACAGCCTTAATGTAAGGACCACAGTGCTCACAGAGAATGAGACAGATAATCTCTTTTACTGTTATACATAGTTCTTTTACCCAAAGCTCCTAAAAAGGTTTCCCTGAGGCAAAAGTTTATGCATATAAATAATGGATATTTCACTCAGTTTTCTTGCTGTCAAGGAAACCGTCAGTGGATGTGCATACACGTTTGCGTCTGGTACTGTGGTTAAGTTATTTGCTGTTTCTTGGACTCTCACCTGTGTGATGATCTGTCTAACAGCAAGCTGGTACTTGCTGTGTTTGCTTCACAAGACAGCTCTGCATTTGTTACTAACAAAGCATTGGTCTTTATGTGACTATGTGTAGTGAACAGCCCAGACATGATTTCTGCCTGCATAAAACATGCATGTCTCACTGCTCACTTGATCTCCATGCTTGTGGTATGAACTTCAGGGAGAGGAAGGGAGGAGTTTATTCTTCACATTTCT